CTGCCCGCGCCAGGTGTACGCCAGTAATATTGCCTGCCAGCCCAGCGGTTTCGGCAAGCTGATACCACACGTCTACATCATTGGGTCGTGCCTGGGATTGCTGTTCGAGAATCGTTTCTGCCTTTGCGTGTTGACCGGCCTGATTTAAGGCTTTGGCATACAACATGGACAAGGGTGCGTTTTCCGGGTTTAGCACCAGCTGTCGTTCCAACAGTGTCTGCGCCTGCTGGTTGCGGTCGGCTTCAATCAATAATTCAGCATAAGCACTGTTATATAGAATGCTCTGTGGGTTCAGGTTAGTCAGCTGTTCCACCCGCAGCAGGGCTTCATCGTGCTGCCCGTCACGGCTTAACGATAGTGCCAGGCCATAGTTCGCCGCCGCATCGTTGGGGTTGTCGCGCAGGCGGCGCCGGTATTCCGTAATACCCTGGCCGTGGTTTTTCTGAAAGTGGACCACTGCACGAACGCGCATCAGCTGGTAATCCAGAGAATCGCTGTACTCTTTGCGTTCTATGGACATGGCCTGATTGCGGGCGTCGGTAATGCGGGTTTCTGATAATGGGTGGGTCAGTAGAAATTCTGGGGGCTTGCGTGTGAACCGATAAGCCTGCTGCATGCGTTCAAACATGCGCGACATGCCAGCCGGGTCGTGGCCTGCGCGAATAAGCGTATTGAACCCAACCCGATCCGCTTCCTGTTCCCGATCACGACTGTAACGCAGCTGGTTGGCGGCTGATGCGGCCTGGGCGGTGCTCAGCGCAGCGATGGCGGCGTCGCCACCCCCTGCGGCGCCGATAACCAATGCGGCAATGAGGGCGGCCAGTGTGGGTAACGTTTGCGAACGCTGCTCTTCGACCCCGCGGGCGAAATGACGCTGGCTCAAATGTGCCAGCTCGTGCGCCATAACTGAAGAGTATTCGTGTACGTCCTCAGCGGACAGCAACAAACCAAGATTCACGCCTACCACTCCGCCAGGCGCAGCAAAGGCGTTCAATTCCGGATTATCGATGATGACCACGCTCATAATGGCATCACGCAGCTCTGAATGCTGAGCGAGGTTGGTTAACTGACTTGAAACATAATATTTCATCAGCGGATCACTGACGGTCGGCAGGGCCGCGTTGATCTGCTTCAGAAAAGACTCACCAATGCGCCTCTCAAGCTGGGGCGAAATGAGGCTTGATGAGCTGTCACCGAGGCTTGGCAGCTGGCTCGGGCTGGCGTGCACCACTGTCGTCTGCAGGCACAGGGTGACCAGAGCCAAGTTTGCCAGTGTGCGCTGATAAATATTTTTTCTGTTAGCACTCAATCTCATAACAGCTACTATACGCGATTATTAGTTCAGACCAGCGCCTGTTGAGGGGTGGAATGCCGCTTTGCAGCGCTGTCTCATACTTTGGACCGTTATGAATGAAGAAGTTCGCATCCTTGACGTGAAAGGCTTGAATTGCCCTATGCCGCTGCTGAAGGCTAAAAAAGCACTGAATGAAATGGCTGCCCTGGAGCAGCTGCAGGTGTTGGCCACGGACCCAGGCTCGGTGCGGGATTTTGAGGTCTTTTGTCGACAGAGCGGGCATGTGCTTTTGTCGAGTGAAGAAAACAATGGCACCTACACGTACCTTCTGCAGAAAAAACAGTGAAATTTCTTAATGTAATCAGCCGTTGGGTGAATGAGTACTTCTCCAATGAAGAAGCCATTTATCTCATTGCCCTGCTTGGGTTTGTCGTTGTGGTTCTGGCGACCCTGGGGGGTGTACTGGCGCCAGTCTTGATGGGCCTGGTGTGCGCTTTCCTTCTGCAGGGTCTGGTGAATGGACTGCAGCGGATCAAAATTCCGCGCCTGATAGCCGTCTATCTGAGTTTCCTGTTATTTGTGGGATTGATTCTGGCTTTTTTCGTGATTGTTGTGCCGCTGCTGTGGAAGCAGATGCAGGGCCTGATTGGGCTGTTACCTGCGGTTCTCAACCTGTTGCAGGACAGCGTGAGTGAGTTGGCAGCGAGATATCCTCAATATATAACCGAGACTCAGATTTCATCGTTGATTGATCAGGCGGCTGGCGAGTTGGGCAACTTAAGCGCCACGGTTTTTCAAACCGCATTTTCTCAGGTCTTTTCACTGCTTGGACTGGTGCTGTATCTGGTGCTTGTGCCGATTTCGATTTTCTTTTTCCTCAAAGACAAAGATGAACTGCTGGCCTGGCTGCACTCTTTGCTGCCCGCTGACCGTCCTCTGCTGACCTCAGTGGCCAGTGAAATGAATATTCAACTGGGTAACTATGTGCGTGGCAAAGCCATTGAAATTGTCATTGTCGGCGCGGCCACCTTTGTTAGTTTTACGATCCTCGGTGTGAATTACGCGGCGCTTCTGAGTGTGCTGGTGGGTTTGTCGGTATTGATTCCCTTTGTTGGTGCAGCGGTGGTGACACTGCCGGTGTTCATCGTTGGTGTTATTCAGTTTGGCTGGTCCTGGGAACTGGGTACGGTGATGATTGTCTATGGGGTCATTCAGTTTCTGGATGGTAATGTGCTGGTGCCGCTGCTGTTTTCCGAGGTGGTAGATCTGCATCCCATCAGCATTATTGTCGCGGTTCTGGCTTTTGGCGGCATCTGGGGGGTCTGGGGCGTATTTTTTGCAATTCCCCTGGCAACCCTGATCAAAGCGATCTATAAGGCTTGGCCCCGTCGCGCAAGCGACGATCCGGAAGAAAGGCGCGCAAGCGACGATCCGGAAGAAAGGCGCGCAAGCGACGATTCTGGTGAAGGGCGCGCAAGCGACGATTCTGGTCAAGGGCGCGCAAGCGACGATCCGGGCAAAGAACAGCCGGAAATTATCGAAGCGAGTTAGTCTGCGGCAGTTTCCACGCCAGGCGCCCTCGATGGGTGGGTAGAACACCGCGAAGGCGCGCTTGTTCAACCGGGTCTGCGTGCGTACCATTCCGCCTCTATTTTTTGAATTAATAAACAGGTGGGGTTGAAGCCATGTTAAAGGGCAGCATTGTTGCGCTGATTACACCCATGCTGGCCGATGGTGAAGTGGACTGGCCGTCCCTTGACAATCTGATTGAGTGGCATATTGAGAGTGGCACCCACGGCATTGTGCCTATGGGTACAACGGGTGAATCTGCCACCTTGGATACGGTTGAACATCTGCAGGTCATCAAACGCACCATTGAGGTGGTGGCAGGTCGTATTCCCGTGGTCGCCGGCACAGGTAGTAACTCGACAGCAGAAGCTATACACCAGACCCAGGAAGCACAAGCTGCGGGCGCCGACGCCTGTTTATTGGTCTCACCCTATTACAACAAGCCAACTCAGGAAGGCCTTTACCAGCACTACAAAGCAATTTCTGCCGCCACTGACGTACCGCTTGTGCTTTATAATGTACCCCCGCGTACCGCCAGCGATATGTCTGCGGAAACTGTCGCGCGCCTGAGCACGGATAAAAAAATTGTTGGTATAAAAGAAGCGTGCGGTGACGCAAGCCGTGTCGGTGACATCAAAGCCCTGCTTGAAGACATCGGTAACGACGACTTTTTTATCCTCTCAGGAGAAGATGCACAGACTCTGGAAATGCTTGACCTGGGTGCAGTAGGCACAATATCAGTGACCGCAAATGTATGTCCCCGGGAGATGGCTGAGTTTTTGAACACTTATCTAGCTGGTGACAAAGATCGGGCCCGTGAGTTGGATGCCTTGTTACAGCCGATGCACGAAGTTCTGTTTATAGAACCTAATCCTACAGCCAGTAAGTGGGCCTTGCATGAAATGGGTCGGGCCGGACCAGGTATCCGGCTGCCTTTATTACCGTTGTCAGAAAAATATCACGCGCAGGTTCGCGCTCGTCTTGTTGAAATAGGGGCTTTATAAATGGCAACTTGGAAATGCAGCATTCTGATGTTGATCAGCATCGTGCTGGCAGGCTGCAGCTGGTTCGGCGGAGATGACGATGACGAAGGTTTTCTGCGCAATCCTAAAGACGACTATCTGGAAGCCGTGCAGCACAATGAACTTGTTTTGCCCGACGACCTGAAACCGCTTGGCGACACAGATCCGTTTCCAATCCCGCGTACGCCGAAGCAGGTTAACGCAAGATTCTATCCAGACCGCCCACCTCTGCCTGATGCCATCTACGCTAACGATAATCGCGATGAAGTGCGTATACAGCGTTTAGGCGACAGGCGCTGGCTGGTTATTCCCGAGCCACCGACAACCGCCTGGCCGAAGCTGAAACAGTTTATGGCGGAAAATGGTGTTGCGCTGACTTACGATGCGCCCCAGTCCGGGCGATTGAATACGCAGTGGATGCAGATTCAAAATGAAGGCTATCGCGACGTGATCCGGACATTACTCAAGGATGCCAAAGGCGGCGACCCACTGATTACCGGCCAGGATCGGTTTCTGATCAAGGTTGAACAGGGCTTGCGTGCCTTGACGACGGAAGTGCATGTGCGCCATGAAAACGACAGCGTGTCGCTGCCGGTGCGTGATGAAATCATTGTGATCGACGGCTTATCCAGCCATCTGGCAGCTGCAGAAGATGATCTGCTCAATGAAATTGGCGCCTATATTGCAGCTAAAGTCTCCGAACAGACTGTCTCCAAGGTAGCTCTGCAGATCGGCAGCGCGAAGAAAACTGAACTGGCACGCGACGCCAACGGATTTCCCGTTCTGCACCTGTATCTCGACTATGAGCGCGCCTGGGCAACCCTGGGACAGGCGCTGGATAATGCAGATGTCGAAATTCTTAACCTGGATCGGCAAACCGGTCTGTTTGCAGTCAATATTCCCGGCTCGGTGTTCACCGCTGACGATGATGGCCCCGGTTTCCTTTGTCGTCTGACGTTTTCCTGTGATGATGATGAAGCCGTTGACGTACAGATATTGATTGAAGGTGACAATCAGGATTACCGGGTCAGCGTTCTGGAAGCTGAAAGTTCCGCGCCTGCAGATGCCGAACTGGCGCAACAGGTACTGGTTCTGATCCGTGAATTTGCCGCCTGATGGGGCTTGCCTCACTGGGTAGTGGTTCCAAAGGCAATGGCACCGTGGTCGCCTTGGGGAGCAAAGTTTTCCTCATCGATTGCGGTTTCAATTTAAAACAGACCGAGCGCCGTCTGGCGCGTATTGGTCTGTCAGGGGGTGACCTCCACGGTATCCTGATCAGTCATGAGCATTCAGATCACATTGCCGGTGTTGCAGCTCTGGCTCACAAGTATGCTATTCCAGTTTACGCCTCCTACGGGACGCTCAAGCACGACCTGCGCGGCGTTGCCGGCATACCTTTTGACGGTGATCAGCCGTTTGAAATTGATGATGTGACCATCAATCCTGTCTGTGTGCCGCATGATGCCCGGGAGCCGACCCAGTTTGTGCTCAGCGACGGTGTGGAATCCATAGGCGTGCTCTCAGATCTGGGCTGTGTCACCAGCCACGTTGTGGAGCAGTACAAGAACTGTACCCATGCCCTGATCGAAGCCAATCACGACAGTATGATGCTCAGTCGCGGTAGTTATCCCCAGCGTTTGAAGCAACGTGTGGGCGCAGATTATGGACATTTGAACAACGACCAGGCCCATCAATTGCTGCAGCACATCGCCCACCCGGATCTGCATGTTGTTATTGGACACGTCAGTGAACAGAATAACGCCCCTGAAATCCTGCAACGCACGCTGCAACCGCTGCACAACAGTCTGGCTGCTCTGCATTACGCCACTCAGGCGGAGGGCTTTGGCTGGCTCGGCCAACAGCCCATCAAACGGCAAATATCTTTCGGCGAGGTCATGTAAACTAATGGGCCCGTTTGATTAGATCGAAACAGAATAGCTATGGAACCCGCTTCTTTTAATATTTCCCCGGAAACCTTTCAAACTGAAGTCATCGAACGCTCTAACAGCGTTCCGGTATTTGTCCTGTTCTGGGCTGAACAGGTCCCGCCTTCAGTGCAAACCAAACAAACGCTGGAAACTCTGATGGCCCAGTATGGCGGCAAAGCCGTGCTGGCATTATCAGATGTGGCGGTTGACCAGACGCTTGCTCAACATCTGCGGGTACAGGGGCTGCCCAGCTTGCGGATTGTCCAGCAGGGTAAAATTGTTGATCAGATTGATGGTCCGGCAGATGAAGCCCAATTGCGCACTCTGCTCGATACGCTGACACAGTCATCCACAGACATATTGCAGGGTCAGCTGGACCAGGTGCTGGCCAGCGGTGATTACGACACCGCGGTTGCGATGTTGCAGCAGTCAATGAACGAAGAACCCAATAATCAGGGTTTTCGGGTAGAGCTGGCTGATGTCCTGATCCTGAAAGGTGATCTTGATGATGCCCGCACGGTCCTGGCGTCTATTCCTGATGACACGCCAGAGCGTGAGCGCCCGCAGCATCGACTTGAGTTTGTTGAAGAAGCAGCCGGTTATGCAAGCGTTGCAGAAATTGATGAGCAATTGGTCGCTGATCCAGACAATCTGGAGCTGAAATATCAGAAGTGTGTAGGTCTGACGGTCACTCGGGATTATGAAAGTGCGTTGAACCTGGCCATGGACATTTTGCGCAGCGATCGTGAATTTCGTGACGATATCGGGCGTTTGACGATGGTCCGTATCTTCCCACTGTTGGGCAAGGGGTCAGACATTGCGGCAGCGTATCGCCGCAAAATGTTCAACTTTATGCACTAAAACCCGCTTCACGGGTTGCTGTCTCCACCGGCGCACCGTCACTTGTGAAGTACCGCACGTTATAGGATGCAGACGTTGCCTATCCTAGTCGTAACCGAATCGATAATGTGGGTAGTTGCGACATGGATGCGCAGTCGGATCCTTGCCTGGTTCTTGAACTCAATGGCCACCACGCCTCTGTGGCCGCACAGGCTGTGGCGGAAGGCGTCCCTTTTAAGCTGGGCAAAACGCCGAGCTGTGACTTCATTGTTGATCGTGAACTTACCTCCCGCATTCACGCTCGGATAGAGCGTCACCACAAAGATTTCTATCTCATCGATGAAAGTACCAATGGCACCTTCGTACAAACGGAGGATGAACAGGTCACCCTGGTGCATCGCGATCGTATCAAACTCTGGGGTGCAGGCTGGATTTCGCTGGGTGAACCACTACATGTCGGTGCCCCCATTCACTTCAGACAAGATTAACTATGGATTGGTCCAGCGCCAGCGATAGTCACCGTGGAAACCGGCGCGCGAGAAACGAAGATGCCGTTTTTGCGTCTTCCCACCTGGGTCTGTGGGCGGTAGCGGATGGCATGGGTGGGCACAAAGCGGGTGACTATGCCAGCGAGACCATTGCGCAGATGCTGGCGGATCTCGATCTCTCGCAGGATCTCAGTGACTGTGTTGATCTTGTTGAAGACGGCATGTTGGAAGTTAACGATCATCTACGGCGTCATGCACGTACTGAATGTGACGGCAATACAGTGGGCAGTACCGTTGTGGTGTTGATTGTGCGCGGTGAAGTGGGCGTTGCGCTGTGGGCTGGCGATAGTCGTCTGTATCGAATGCGCGGACGCCTGATGAGTCAGATCACTCGTGATCATAACCCCGTTTCAGATTTGTTAGACAGCGGCAGTATTACCGAAGATCAGGCGTTGAATACAGATACGCACATCATCACCCGCGCGGTGGGTGGTCAACGTGATCTGCATCTTGATGTGGCGGTGTTTGACGTTCAACCTGGCGATACGATGCTGCTCTGTACCGATGGGTTGTACCGCGAAATAGAACCCCAATCTATTTATGATGCCCTGCAGCACGATGTGGACAAAGCCGTCACCATACTCATGCGTGATTGTCTGCAGGGGCCTGCCAGGGATAATGTGTCCCTCGTGGTTGCGCGGGCGGAGCACTGATAATGGAAAAAGTCAGTGACAGAAGTGTGAACGATAACAGCGAAACTGATGCCACGCAGCTCCGTGAAGATATGACGGTGATGCGTGATCCCAGTGAAACCACTGCAACCGCAAGTCAGGTCAGATGGCATAGTTCGCCATCGAGTGTGTCGAGTACCTCCGACGAAACACCTAAAGTTCTTAAGCAACGTTTTGTTCTGGAAGAGCTTATCGGTTCCGGTGGTATGGGCAGTGTTTTCCGTGCAAAAGATTTACGTAAGGTGGAAGCGCGTGGTACGCAGCCTTACGTCGCGGTTAAGATCCTGAATAATGACTTTCGGCATCATCCCGAGGCGTTTATTGCGCTGGAGCGGGAAGCATCAAAATCTCAGGGTCTGCGGCACAGCAATATTGTTTCCATCTTCGATTTTGATAAAGACGAAGACGTTCCGTTCATCACCATGGAGCTGCTGCAGGGTGAAGAGCTGGCGGACCTGTTAAAAGCCTACCCTTCGGGCTTGCCCGAAGAGCTGGCCTGGAAAATTATTGAAGGCATGGTGCTTGGTCTGAAACATGCGCACGAAGAGGAAGTGGTGCATGCCGACTTCAAACCCGGCAATATCTTTATCACGCAGAAAAAGGTAGCCAAAATACTGGATTTTGGCATCGCGCGAGCGATGCGAATGAATTCGGGTTCTGAAGATACTGATTTCGATCCCGCACGTCTGGCGGCTTTGACGCCGGCTTACGCAAGCCGCGAAATGTTGAACGGCGACAATCCGGAACCTCGGGATGACATTTTCTCGCTCGGAATTGTCATCTACATGGTTTTAACCGGGCATCATCCTTACGGGCGTGTTCCGGCTAATGAAGCTGCCCGGGAAGGGCTCAAACCGGAACGTATCAAATCTTTATCGCGACGGCGCTGGCGTGTCTTGGAAAAAGCGCTGCAACTTAACCGTCAGGATCGACCTGCGGATGTGCAGGAAGTTTTTGCCGGCCTGTTTGCACCTTCACCGTGGCGCAACTGGTCGCTGATGGCGACAGCAGGACTCGTCACAGCAAGCCTTATTCTTGTTGCTTTGCAGGATTCAGCGTCTATCAACGAGGTGAAAGAAGAGGTTCGCCAGGAAACGCTGGTGGATGCGCAGATGAACCGGATAGAAAAACTGTTAGATGAGCCGGCATACGATACTAACTGGGAACGACAGCTGTTCGCGGAAGTACAGACCCTGCGAGCCCTGAGCCCCGCTATAGCGGATGTACAAGGCTCAACGGATGCTGCCATCCCACATCCACATGATCGGATCAGCGCGCGCATTGCAGAATTGTATTCTGAACATATTCGTAATACCGCAGATCTACCCACCGCGTTTGCTCAATTCGAGGCGGGTCAGCAGTTTGTGGAACTGGCAGAGGTGCGTGCTGATCTGCACGAAAGGCTGCTGAACGAGCTGGATAGGCTTGCAGGCCAGCCGATCAGTGGACAGTGGTTGACCCGCTTTGAAGAATTGATGTCTCAGGTAAATACTTATTTTGCTGATTCGACACTTTTGGTGGTGACGCAGATCGAGTTAGTCGATTACGTCGTGCAGCAGTTGGAGCAGGACCTTATCAGCCGGGATATTCAACTTGCCCAGCAAACCTGGCGCAATGTTGAGAATAAGGTGTTTGATGGCGCTCAATGGCAATCCCTGCAGGATAGTTTCAGTGCGGCATTGACCAGCGCGCAGGCGCAAAAAGAGGCGCAAGTGCAGGTGCAAACCGCACAGCGTTTACAAAAACAGATGTCGGCCTCGCTGGCCGTGAGCTGCCTGCGCATGGATGTTGGTCAGATAGCGGCCCGGCTCGATAGGCTCACTGCAGCTCATCCCGGCCACGCAGCAATGCTGCGCGAACAGATTGGTGCGCGTCTGGGTGAATGTATCACTCGTCTTGGCGCCGTTGACCCGGACCGGGCTTATTCGCTCAAGAAACAGGCGCTGGCGCGCTTCAGTGGTATGCAGCAACTGCAGGATCAGCAGCTGGATCCCTGTTCCCTCCACTATCTGGTGGGTAATGGCAATGCCAGCGGCAGAGGTAGTTTCTGTGCTGACCAGGTCAGTCAGGATCAGCGTGGTCCGCGACTGGTTGTTGTTCCAGGTGATCAGAGCCTGGCTAAATTTGCCATCAGCAAATATGAAATAAGCTGGCGGGATGTGAATCTGTTCTGTGCTGAAACCAAGTTGTGTGTTGCGGCGGCAGAAGAGCACCTGCCCGTTACCGGCATGGCGGTTGATGTCGTTGAAGAATACGCGCAGTGGCTGAGTGATCGCACCGGTTATACGTACAGGCTGCCGACTGCTCACGAGTGGCAACAGGCAGCTCAGGGCGAGCCGGACCCTAACCGTAATTGTCGTATCGACGTTGGTGGTGTGCGACGCGGCGATGCCATGCTTGCATCCGAAAACGGTGCTGCGAACCCCTTAGGTCTTGTGCATGTATTAGGCAATGCGCAGGAACTGGTCAAAGACCAGTCGAGTTATGTGGCGCGTGGAGGTACCTTCAGCGATCCTATAGAACGATGTCAGATTGAAACCCAGCGCGAGATTGCCGCTCAGGGTGATCAGCAGACAGGCTTCCGTCTGGTGCGGGAAGTATCATGAGTTTATTGACCTTATCGCCTGAATCAACTCGTTTGCGACGCGTCGCCAAGGCGCACGCTGCCGGGGAAATTTCCCAGCTTGAATATCGCGAAGCACGCCGCCAGGTGATCAGGAAATTCGCCAGGGTGAATAAGGGGCCATTGGTCCAGGGTGCGGATGATACGGTGCCGCGCTTCGATCTGGAGACCACCTTACGTCGCTCGGAAGGCTTCCCTGAACCTGTGCAGAGTGTGCAACGGCAACCCTGGTTGATGGGGCTGGTTCTGCTGGTGGTGGTGCTGGTCGCCATGGTGCTGCCATTGATGTCTTTCGCGGCCTTAATCCCGCCGGTGAGCGAGCGCGACCCTAATCCTGCTACGGCTCCGACCTACGAAATTGATCTGGTGCGCTGGCAGATACCGGAAGATCTGCAACCGCAGTTCGGCGAACCTGCAGAAGCGTTGCTGGCGGCTGGTCTGCAGACGCTGAAAAACAATGATGCGCCTCTGGCCCACGGTTTCAGCAGCTCTGAACTCACAGAAGTTGCTCGCTTCTTAAATGCTATTGGCGTGCATGATGAAGCGGTATCACTTTCCCGCGGCGACCTGCAGGACCTGAAAGCGCTGGTAGCTGCGCAGAAAAAGAAGCGCGGCGTGTCTCTTCTGCAGCTTGAGCAACTGGCTAAATCTCTACAGGACTGGTTGCGCGAAGAGGGTTTTGTGCTGGCCACGGCTTATATCCCAACACAGGAAGTTGTCGACGCGACGGTCCAGATTGAGGTGGCTTTTGGCCAGCTTTCCAGCATTCGTGTGACCAACGAGGACACGGCTCAATTACACGCAGGGTTCACAGACCTGCTCGGCAAGCGGGTCGAGAAAAAGTCCGTAGAAACCCGCTTGAACATACTCAACCGACAACTGGGTGTGCAGTCTGAAGTGTATTTTCAACCCGGCGCTGAGGTGGGTGAAAGCGAGATGGTGCTGCAGGTCAAACAACACCAGAAATTTGCCGGTTCCATTGGCCTGGATAATTACGGCGTTGAAGATCTCGGCGAGGAACGTCTGTCGCTTACAGGTCGTTGGAATAACCCTCGAGGTGCCGGCGACGTGATGACGGCTAAAGCATTCACAACCGTCGATAACAGTGCCCATCAATTTCTTCAGCTGGGATACGCTGCACCGATATTCGGTGGGCAGTTTGATGCAGCAGCTTACCTGTCGTATGCGGATCTGCAGTTGGATAATGGCAGCGCGCTGGCGGGAGATGGCCTGTTGTTTGATACGTATCTCACCGATACCCGCTTGTTTACCCGCACGCAGCGGCGAGAACTCACTTACAGCGCAGGACTGCACAATTTCAGTTGGGATGGCCTGCTTGATCAGCGCGCTTTGTTTGTCGCCTCAGCGTTGGAAGGTCATCAACTCTGGGATGAGCAGAAGATTGCCGCGCAAGGGTCGCTGCAGGCTCTGGTGGGCAACGTGGACAATACCCGCCCTGGTCAGGATGATTTTTACTGGCGTCTGCGTGGTGATCTGAATGCCTGGATGCCATTACCACTGACGGAACGCTGGTTCGATGAGGGTCAGCAACCCAAATTAGTGCTGGATGTGCAATGGCAATTAAGTCAGACGCAATTGCCGCCCACGCTCAGACTGAATGCTGCCGGACCACATGCCAGCAAAGGTTTCGCTCAAGGTCAGGTGCTCCTGGATCAAGGCCTGTTTGTCAGTTCAGCGCTTCGATTTGATGCGCCTGTCGGCCAATGGTGGACGTTCTGGGATGTGGTTTATGGTGAACAGAAAGGTGGCGCGCAATCCTGGGCACACCTCAGTAGTGCAGGGTTGGGTTGGGAAGGGCAGGTGCTGCAGACCGCCTATGGTGCGCTGTCCAGCCGGCTTACGGTGGCCTATCCACTTTCCCACAAAGGTTCAGATGGAGTTGAAAATGATGGCACACAGTTTTACTGGTCGCTGCGCTTTATATATTAAGCGCGTTACCCTGATTGCGCTGGTGAGTACCTGTCCGCAGGTGCTGGCGGCGTCCGCAGAAGATTTTGAGGGTGAAGTCAGGGATGTCCTAACCTCTGCGGATGCTGCTTGGACACGCAGTCTGTTGCTCCCTGACCCTGAAAACACAGCCTACGACGAGCAGGTTTTTATCGAACTCTCCCCGATTCTGGATTCTCCCGAGGGTGTGAAATTGCCCGAAGATCAGCAGATGCCCGAGTAGCAACTCTTACGGCTCTACAGACGCTAACTGTTATCAGTAGGGGTGCCTGGGCGCGAGAAATGTGACATTTGTGTTGCCGAGGCTAGGCTGGCTTGTGAGTGGCTACTAACCTCCTTGGCTTCAGGCTTATGCACAATTGCCAACAACGCTATTTCGGCCGTCGTATTGAAGCATCTTTCTCATCTACAGTATTACGTCGAAACTATAACTATTTGATTTAATTGATAAAAACAGCCATTTTCCCCTAACACCTCTTTTCTGTGGAAAATCTGCCTTGCTGACTGAATCAGGCCGTTAAAAAAGTTATCCTCAAAGTTATCCACAGGCACACGGCGATTGTGGGCTACGCTAAGCACGCTAGAATAGCGTCGAGTTTTCGTCTAATGGAGCGTCCCCTTGTCTAAAGCAGAACAGGAAGTATTGGATCAGAAGTTGGCCCAATATCGGGAAAAAGGGGTGAGTAAGGTTAAATTAGGCCTGACGGACATTGACGGCGTTATCCGTGGCAAGTACGTGAATATGGATAAGTTCGCCGCGCTCTGCAGAAACAGGGTGGCTTCTGTGATTGTGTGTTCGGTTGGGACGTTGATGACCAGCTTTATGACGCTGGCCGTTATACAGGTTGGCATACCGGCTTTCCTGATACGGGCTTCCGCCTGCTGGTGCATACCGAACGTTGGCTGCCTGATGAATCGGTGCCCTATTTTGTCGCTGAATTTGTGCTACCTGATGGTAATCCCCACCCGATATGCCCCCGCACCTGTCTGCAGCGGGTGTTGGATAGATTTGCCAGGCAGGGTTTGATAGTTCGCTCAGGGTTTGAATACGAGTTTTTTGTCTTCGAAGAAACGCCGCATTCAGTTCGCGAGAAGGGTTATCAGAATCTCAAATCATTAACCCCGGGCAACTTTGGTTATTCTGTGCTGCGCACGTCGGTGGCGTCTGATCTGTTCTCTGGCCTGATGGACTATGCGCTGGCGCTGGATTGCGATCTGGAAGGTTTACACTGTGAAACCGGCCCCGGCGTTTGGGAAGGCGCATTGAAATCCAAGCTCGGTGTGGAAGCTGCGGATCGCGCAAATCTGTTTAAAACGTTCACCAAAGTTTATCTGCAGAAGCGCGGATTGATGGGTACCTTCATGGCCAAGTGGTCGATGGATTATCCCGGCCAGAGTGGCCACTTCCATTTCTCCGTGCAGGATAAGCAGGGCAATAACCCATTTTATGATAGTCATGGGGAAGCAGGTATGTCTGCGTTGCAGTGCCATGCCGTGGCTGGCCTGAAAAAGTATCTGCCTGAACTGCTGGCCCTGATTGCACCCACCATCAACAGCTACACACGGCTGGTAAAAGGCGCCTGGGCGCCCACCGCTGCGACCTGGGGTGTGGAAAACCGCACCTCGGCTGTCCGTGTTATTCCAGCTGGGCCAAAAGCCCAGCGGATAGAGTGTCGGGTGGGTGGCGCAGATGGTAATCCCTACCTGGTGGCCAGTGCGGTGTTGGCTGCCGCGCTGCAGGGTATAGAAGAGAAACTCGAACCTGGTGAACCGGTAACAGGTAATGCCTACGAAATGCAGGACAGTCTGCCAGCTGCCGCACAGTTCCCGAGTAACCTGCGCACCGCCGCGGAGAATCTTGCCGCATCAAAAATTGCGGTTGATCATTTTGGTGAGGTGTTTGTTGAACACTTTGTGATGAGTCGCTTGTGGGAATGCGCGGAATACGATCGCAATATCAACAGCTGGCAGCTTGGCCGCTACTTTGAAATTATTTGAGATCTGAACGTGCGTATTGGAATCCTGCTTACCGACCATGTGCGCACCCAGTTTGTTGCTCAACATGGCGACTATGGGGACATGTTTACGCAGCTGCTCAAGGCGCAGGATCCGGACCTGGATCTCGTTATTTATGATGTGCAGGTGGCCTGCCCCGAGGAGATCACCTGTGATGCCTATCTGATTACCGGTAGCAAAGACAGTGTCTACGACAACCTGCCATGGATAAATGAGCTGGTTGCGTTTCTACGGCGTGTGTTGGCTGCAGATAAAAAGGTTATTGGCATCTGTTTCGGCCATCAGCTGATGGCGCATTTTTTTGGTGGTCGGGTTGCGCCAGGGCCCCAGGGTTGGGCGGTTGGTGTGCACACCAGCCATATCGATAAAGTTGAGCCCTGGATGGGCAACTTGACCCGGTCTGAGGTATCTCTGCTGTCGAGTCATAAAGACCAGGTAGTTGAACTGCCCGAAGAGGCTGATGTTTTTCTGAGCAATGATTTCTGTCCTGTGGCGGGCTTCACCCTGGGCTCCCAGGTACTGAGCCTGCAGGGGCATCCGGAATTTGTCGCGGCGTACGCGTCAGATCTGATGGATATGCGGGCAGACATCATTGGCGACGCGGTCTATCAGGCTGGCAAGCAGAGCCTGGAAATACCCACCCAGACAGGCGAAGTTGCACGTTGGATTCTTAACTTTATTAAGGGAGAGCGGGTTGGGTAAGGCGCCAACACGCTTTGGTCAGTTTCGGCGCCGGGCTGAAAAACTGGTGTCCAACCCGGATCGTGTGCAGGCGCTGTTGAGCGATGCTGATCGCAAACAGGCCAATGCCGGCGGGGAAAAATTCCGCGAAATGCGGGCACAGATTGGGGTTGCCATTGCGCTGATAAAAGCCTGGGTTAGCGGTGATTACCGACAAGTGTCGAACAAAACTATAGTGATCCTGGTGGCAGCCTTGTTGTATTTTGTAATGCCGCTGGACGTGGTGCCGGATTTTCTGTTCGGCTTGGGTCTGCTTGATGATGCTGCCGTTCTGGTCTACGTCTTCTCGCAGTTGCAAACAGAGATAGCAGCCTTCCAGGTCTGGCGGCAACAGCAGGTCGATGAGCAACAATCCGAGGAAGAACGGCCCAGTGAAGAAAGAGGCGATATAACCTGATGGTTTGGACAAGATTTTTCTGCGTGCTGGTGCTGATCTTCTGTACCTCCGCCTGTAGTGTGAAATTTGCTTACAACAACGTCGACAGGCTTGTTAAATGGCAGATGAGTGACTATCTCGATCTCAACAGTGATCAGCGCAAATTGTTAGAAACACAGATTGAAGGATTAATGGCCTGGCATCGGCGAGAACATCTGCCTGAATACGCAATTCTGATGGAGAGTCTGGCCACCCAATGGAGTGACGGGGTTTCTGAGGCGCAGATTCAGTCACTGTTTGAGCAGATGTTTATCTGGGGTGAAGATATTCAGGAACAGGGTATGCCTGCTGCCATTGTAATGATGCAGAGCTTAACGGATGAGCAGGTGGCCGCGTTGCCAGAGCGTTTAGAGAAGAGTAATCAGGAGATCGCGCAGGATGAACTGGACGTTGCGCTTGACCAGGTGCAGGACGCCTGGGCAGAAGATTTTGCAGATGGGTTGGAACGCTTTACCGGGCGGCTGCTTAAAACCCAGCGTGAGTATCTGAGTCGGCGTGCAACGGCTTACCAACCGGAACGGGTGCTTTGGGCAGAATACCGACGTCGTTTCCAGGCGGATTTAATGAAGTTGTTGATGAAGCGGAACGAACCTGAGTTTGATGCAGAATTTCGACGCCTGGCGGCAGCCAGGGAATCCTACTATGGAGAGGAGTTCACCCGTGTGAGTGATGAGAACATTGCTCTGAGTCGCGAAGTTGCCTCGTATGTATTGTCGAACCTGACAGAAAAGCAAAGTGGAAGACTAAAAGATGCTTTGTTGGATCTGGCTCAGGATTTTCAGGAGCTGGCGGCTAAAGCAGAGCCGGCGGATGCCGCCTGAATTATTCGGTGACCCCTCGCCAGTGCCGGGCAACCTTATCGCCAACAATCTCGAAGTAGTGAACTTTAACCTCGGTTCTGGCTAAGTTGACCGCCAGAAGCGGGAACGCGCGCACTTCGGTGGTATGGTCAATGTGGCTGTGATACTGCCATTGCTCGGTATCAGGTGCGGTGCTGACGATGCTGGCTGGGTAGCCAAAGTTTTCAATTAACCACGTGGCGTCCGTGACGCCGGATTGCACGTTTGAGAGCGTGATCTGGTTTGGAAATGAATCTTTCGGCGCGAGCTGGCTGCTGCTGTAACTGACACAGCCGCTGATCAAAGTTGTGCAGAGAAGAATAAAAACACTTTTTGTCAGCAGAGAATAGTGCATGTTACCGCTCCAACTAAACCCGATCTTTCTTCAGTAACGGGCGCTCATCTAATATCATCCACATCACCAGGTAAGTGGCGATGACTATTTTCGGGAAAAACAGTCCCGTTACCAGAACCCCGACCCGCATAAACGCAGGGTCCAGGCGAACGTAGTTTGCCACGCCGGCGCAAACGCCAAAAACCCAGCCGTTGTCCTTGTCGAGGTGAACTCGGCGTCTTATACGATCGACAAACTCATTTGACATTCTGGTCTCCTAATTGATATCGGCAGTGGGTCTGTGCACTTTAATGTCAGCACTCTGTGTGATCAGTGAAAGACGTACACCAGCTGCTGCAGCCATCCCTGGCTGGAGATGTGCGCTGCAGGTGTCAGGCTCTGGGCCTGCAGACCGGGCAGACTCGCCTCTGCCCATATGCCGAAGCCCAGGAAAACGATAATGAGCAGCGCCATCGCCCAGAAGGTGGCCCTTGGGTGAGAGATGCGGGAGAGCCGTATGTTGTTGAATCCCATGATTGCGTCCTGTCGTGTAATCGGCGGCGCTGAGGGTGCAGCGCCGCTCTTAATTTTTTATATCTTTTGCAATTCAATAGTCGTGCCAATGCTGAAAAAGTTTGTCCGGGCGGTAAACCGCGGCTTCCAGTCTGGTCCCCGGCATGAACTTGGATTGTTTCTGGCGAATTCCGCCAATAATTGGTTGTGAAAGTGGCGAAGTCGCCCCTGATAGCGTGCCTGGAATGGGTGCATTGTCAGGCTGACTGTGTACGATAAGGACCTCTGACATACTTTTGAGGGGGTGAGTATGGATTTTCATTTTGCAACGGCGTGGGAGCAGGTAGCGGACCTCTACCCGAGTCGCACCGCCGCAATTTGTGACGATAAGGCGGTGTCCTGGCGCGACTACGAACAACGTGCGGCGAAAATTGCGGGCTTGCTGCAGGCCCATGGCCTGGGTGCTGATTCCAAAGCGGGTCTGTATCTGCACAATTCCAACGAATATCAGGAAGCGCAGTTTGGTCTGTTCAAAATTGGCGCGTGTCCAATCAATGTTAATTATCGCTACAAAGCCGACGAGCTGGTGTATCTGCTGGATAACTCAGACGCTGAAGCGGTGTTTTTTCAGGCCTGTTACGCCATGCGGATCTGGGAAATCAAAGATCGCTTACCGAAGGTGAAACTGTTTGTGCAGGTCAATGACGGTACGGAGGCGCTGCTGGACTTTGCCGTCGACTACGAGCGCAGTCTGCGTGATGCGGAACCAGCGCCGCGGCAGGCGCGTGATCCGGAAGGTGTTTACATGCTGTATACCGGCGGCACCACGGGGATGCCCAAAGGCGTCATGTATCCTGTGGGGCAGTTTGCCGGTTTTTTTATCACCATGGGCGCTACCGGTCGTGGCCTGGAACCCCCGACTTCTATGGCGGAATATGAAGCTTTTCTTGCGTCAATTGAACAGCCGCCCATCAACCTTGTGGGTTGCCCCCTGATGCACGGCACCGGTGCCTGGTTGGGTGGGTTCCTGCCGATGTTGATGGGTGGCACCGTTGTCACCACTTCAAAGTTAGGCCTGGATCCAGATCTGCTCTGGGGTTTAACTGAAAGCCACCATGTGACCGATCTGGTTATTGTGGGTGATGCATTTGCCAAGCCGCTGCTGGCGGCATTGGATGGCGCTGAGCAGCGTGGCACACCCTATGACCTGACCTCTTTGAAACAGATTACATCCAGCGGGGTGATGTGGAGTCATGAGACAAAACAGGGTCTTTTGCGGCATCACGATATGATTCTGGCCGATATCATGGGCTCCTCGGAAGGGGGCATGGGCAGTTCGATCACCACCCGGGAAGCCGCCGCACAAACGGCAAAATTTCAGCTCAATGAAGGGGTCCGAGTTATTACCGACGATGACCGTATCGTGCAGGCGGGATCCGGTGAAATTGGCAAAATTGCAACCTCCGGTTTTGTGCCGTTGGGGTACTACAAAGACCCGGAAAAATCCGCGGCCACCTTTCGTGAGGTGGATGGGGTTCGCTACAGCTTCCCCGGTGACTATGCAACTGTAGAGGATGATGGGTCTATCACCCTGTTAGGGCGAGGTAGCGTGTGTATCAACACGGGTGGAGAAAAGGTCTTTCCGGAAGAGGTAGAGGAGGCGGTAAAACGTCACGGGTCAATATTGGATTCGTTGGTGGTTGGCGTACCAGACGATCGTTTTGGTGAGCGCATCGTTGCGGTTACCTCAACACGTGAAGGTCAGAGCGTCGGCGCGGAAGATCTGATTGCCTACACCAGGGATCATCTGGCAGGTTACAAGGTGCCAAAAGAGGTCTTGTTTGTGGATACGGTCAGACGTGGGCCCAATGGCAAGGCAGATTACAAATGGGCCAAAGCCACCGCTCTGAAAGCTGCAGGATTGTGAGCGTGTCTGAAGGTGATCATACGGATATGACCGACGCCACACCCGGACCCCTTGACGGCGTGCGTGTGCTGGACCTGACTTCCATGATTTCCGGACCCGTTGCAACAATGATGTTGGCTGACCAGGGTGCGGACGTCATTAAAGTGGAGGCTTTATCCGGCGACCTGGTGCGCGGTGCGGGCCCGAATCGCAGTGGTATAACCGCAACATTTATATCCTCCAATCGTTCCAAGCGCAGCCTGGCGCTGGATTTGAAAACCCAGGCAGGGGCCAAAATTCTGCGAGAGTTAGTCGCGACAGCAGATGTGTTTGTGCAGAACTTCAGGCCAGGCACCATAGAACGTATGGGGTTTGGTGAAGACTCTGTGCGCGAGATTCGCCCGGACATAATCTATGTGTCAATCAGCGGCTTTGGTGAAAGCGGGCCTTATGCGCATCAGCGTGTGTACGACCCGGTAATCCAGGCGCTCTCCGGGCTGGCTGCTATTCAGGCTGACGGCGAAACCGGGCGGCCGAAGATGATACGCACCATTATTCCGGATAAAACCACTGCGGTGACTGCTGCCCAGGCGATTACAGCAGCGCTGTTTGCGCGGGAGCGTAAAGGCGTGGGACAACATGTTCGACTGGCAATGTTAGATACGATGCTGGCCTATTTATGGCCGGAAGGTATGTCTGGCTACACCCTGGTGGGTAAAGAAGTAAAGGCGGCCCGTGCGCAGCTGTCACCAGACCTGATTTTTGCCACCACAGATGGATACATCACCGCTGGAGCGGTTTCCGATAAAGAATGGCACGGTATGTGTCGCGCCCTGGACAAACCCGAATGGCGGGATGATGAGCGCTTTGCCACTATCAATGCCCGAGCGATGCACGTCACGGAGCGATTGCAGCTCACTGCAGAGGTCATTGCCACCAACAGCTCAGCGTACTGGTTGCAGCACCTGGACGCGGAGGGTGTGCCCTGTGCGCCGGTGTTGAGTCGTGATGATCTCCTCACTCATGAACAGATCCTGGCCAATGATATTCTGCGTGAATATGAGCATCCAACGGCAGGCACCATCCGTCAGCCTCGTCCTGCGGCTCGGTTTGACAAAACACCTGCGCAGATTCGTCGCCATGCGCCTAGTCTGGGCGAACACTCAGAAGAATTGCTGGCTGAGTTAGGCTACAAGACCGATGAAATCGCTGTCATGGTCAAAGAAGGTGTGTTGGGCGTCTCATCAGGGTAGAAAAACTGGCGTCCGTGTGAATATTGGCTAGATTTAATAGAAGTCTCTTAGCTATAAGCCCATGACCACATTGTTTGACGTTCCATTGGATGAATCGGTACAAGTACTGAAGCAGGTGCTGCCTTTGATGAGTAAGCAGCGCGTGCCAACTATTCCGCAGAACTATGCGGTCTGGTACGACTATGTCACTCGGCGCAATGAAGATCTGACTGAAGAGCTTGAAGACCTGATTCATCGAGGTAAAGGCTTCGATGCGGCGTCCTGCCGAACGATATATGAAAAGTATTTTATATCAGAGCTGCAAAGTGAAGTTGATGGTATTCAAGGTGCCGTGCGCGAGGCAGTTGAGTCGGTGCTGGCGGAGCTTGGTGGTCTGGGCGAAGACATCAATCACTTTTCCGAAGTATTGGACAACTGTGGTGTTTCGCTGCAGGAAGACCCGGACAAAGAAGACCTCAATCGCCTGGTGGTGGAACTTGTGCGCGAAACCGCGCGCACCCGTAACCGCAGTAAAGAAGTAGAGGTGTCTCTGCACAATATGGCGTCAGAGCTGACTGAGTTGCGTGCGCAGGTTGATCGTCTCAGCAAGGACTCACGCACAGACGCACTAACTCGAGTTGCCAATCGACGCGCTTTTGACGAATCTCTGAAAAAAATGATCAAAGAGGTGGGCGATACAGGTGCGCCACTGAGCCTCATCCTTTGTGACATAGATCATTTCAAAGCTTTTAATGACTCCCACGGACACATTGTCGGCGACCAGGTGCTGCGCTTTGTCGCGCAGGAAATGGAACAGTGTGTGAAAGGCCGCGACATGCTCGCCAGATATGGCGGTGAAGAGTTTGCCATCCTGTTACCCAACACACCGTTGGATGGTGCCATGATGCTGGCCGACAGTATTCGATCTATTATCGAAGCGCAGCGTATTAAGAATGACAAAGACGAAGAGATCGATAAGGTCACTATCTCTCTTGGTGTTGCCAAATATGTGGCGGGCGAAGAATTAACAGACTTTGTTGAACGCGCTGACGCGTGTCTGTATGCGTCAAAAGCTAATGGTCGAAATCGCATGACTGGCGAGAACGAACTGCCAAAGCATTAAGCTAAGCTTTAGCTTCCCACGGCTGCTTTAGCAGCAAGTATCCTTTAGAATTCTGCCACCTCAATACTTCATCCTTGGTGGGAAAGCGTTTGTTTGTACAATTCCGTCCAGGGAAAGATGTCTGGGCCTATGGTGTGGAGCCTGCAAAGGTGCTCTATCGCTTGCGGCTTGCACGATATCCCGCACTCGCAGAAACGTTAACCGACTGGCTGGCTGACAAAGACCCCGAACAAAAGTTTCGCCTTCTGGATATAGGCGCTGGGTTCGGGCGGACGTTTCTATATGTCAAAGCGGCAGGTATCGCTGAGCGCTTCGAGATGGTAGGTGTAGATATTGACCCGCTGCGCAAAGACGATGTTTATGCCGGCAACCCCTGGGAAATTCGCCAGGGGGATGCCGAGAAGGACCTGGATTTTACCGATAACAGTCTGGACATAGTAGTTTGCGAACAGCTGCTGGAGCATTTAAATCACCCCCAGGTTGTGCTGGACAACGTTCAGCGTGTACTTAAACCGGATGGCCTGTTTATTGTCGGGGTGCCTGTTTTCCCGGAACCCATCGCAAAGCTCAGACGTTGGCAGGTGAAACGGTTCGGGCTTGGCCGATCAGAACACATTCAAACCTATTCGCTGAAGTCTATTCGACGCGATCTTGCGGCGCAGTTTGATGAGGTCGAAATCCGTGGTTTTCGAATTGTGTCTGGCGGTTTGTTGCGCAGGCTGGAGAACCACCACTGGTGGTACCGATTCAACAGAAAACTGGGCGAATGGTTGCCTGGTTTGTGTATCGAAGTGCAGTTGATTGTGAAACCAAAAAAGCCGACAACAGCGGATTAAGTTAGTTTGTTGTTCCCGCGGCTAGCGCACGGCGCTCTGCTGCCCCACCTACCCTGATAAAAAACGGGCCGATACAGGCCACCAGTATCAGTGCAGCTAAGATGAAAAAAGCGCCGTTGTAGGTGCCGGTTGCATCATAAATCAAACCGGCGAGCGGTGAAGCGGAAAGAATAAAGGGCAGTTCCACCCAGCGCAGCACACCAGTGGCCAGCGCAAAAGAAGCGCTGCCGACCGAAGTTGAAACCGCAAATGTACGCAGTGGCGACATCCCCGAATAACCAAAGCCATACATCGCTGCAGCAACCAGACACAGAGCAAATGTATCCGCCTGGGTAAACATCAGCAAAGCCAGTGCCTGGCTGATAAGTGCAATCCAGATAGTGATCCGTGCGCCCAGGAAATCGGACAGAAAACCAACCACCGGTTTGCCGAGGGCTGCAAACAGCGCTGTTGCTGACAACACAAGCGCGGCATTGTCAGTACTCAAACCCAGATCTAACAGGTGGCCAAACAGATGCAACATAACTGCGGTGAACACACAGACCATGGAGCCGAATATTAAGCCGATACTCCAGAATGCGGGCGTCTTCAGTAATCCCTGCCAGGTCCACACGACGCTGTCACTGGGCAGTTCAACGTGTTCATGTTGATGTTTGGCGGTATATGCGTGTCCGTCTCGTACCTCACCAATATCGCCCGGACGATCTTTCATGAAGAAGTAAACAATGGGTAACAGAGTCACCGCAGTAGAGATGGCGAAGATGTTGTATCCCACCCGCCAACCGTAGTTGTCGACCAATGCTGTCACCAGCGGTGGCATCATGATGCCCGCCAGGGACGCGCCCATCACTGCAAAAGCAATGGCTCGGCCGCGCCAGTGGTCAAACCAGAAAATGACAGATCGATGCCAGGCCATGCCACCCATGCAACTCATGCCGATACCAAAACCGAATCCGACGACGAGGTAGAACTGCCACAAAGTCTGGGCGTTGGCGAGAAGAATATAGGATGCGGCAACGATGCCGATGCCGATCATGATCACCAGGCGCGGAGAATTGTGGTCGAGAAATCTGCCCAGAAAAGGAGAAATTATGGCGCCAACAATAGCTGCCCAGGAGAAGCCTAAAGAGATAGCAAAGCGGCTCCCGTCAGACAACGCTTCGGCCAGACTGGGCAGGAAAACACCCCGGGAATAGGAATAGAAGCCGGTGCCGAGAAAGCCCAGTAACATGCAGATCGCAACGATCACCCAACCGTAAAAATACGGCCGTTGGCGCTCACTGGATGTTGGCATTGGCGGCCTCGTTGATATTCCACTCATCAAGATTGCGACCATATTCGATCATGACGTGCTTCTGATACGCAGGGCGTGCACACAATCGCTGATACCAGCTTTCCATATTTGGCAGCTCGGGTCGCTCTATTGGTAGTGTAAAGTAGCGATACGCCATGGCGCCGTTGACAATATCGGCCATGGTGAGCTGATCTCCACAGATGAACCGTCGACCTGTTAACTGCTGATCGAGTTGCGCAAAACACCGTCCGCAGCCTGCAACTTTTTTACTGATCTGTTCTGGTGTTGCCGGTAAACCGCGCACCAGCATCTGGAACAACGGGAAGAATGCGGTGGAAACATCGCTGCGTTGCCATTCCATCCAGATGTCAGCTTCAGTGAGTTCTGCGGATTCGTGCGGCCACAAGGTGCCCTGGCCGTATGTTCTTGCCAGGTAGCGTACGCAGGCATTGGATTCCCAGACCACCAGCTGCTCGTCCTGCAAAGTGGGGACAATGTTATTGGGATTTGGGTAATCAATCGGATAACCGAAAGACCCGCCAACGTCTTTGCGCACGTAGTCCAGTGATAACTCACCCAGAGCCCACATAACCTTCTGCACGTTAGCGGAATTGCGTCGGCCGAGAACGGTTAACATCTTGAACCCCAGGTTGTTTGCGACTGAGTAGCTAGTCTATCTGGGAAGGAAAAATAATGACAAACGTTGTTGGGCCATCTTCGTTGACGATATCCAGTTCAGCGTTGATCTGCCGTAGTAATGCTCGCGCGATGCTCAAACCCAGCCCGGTGCCGCCGGTGTCGCGGCGGGTTGTGAAAAATGGTGTGAATATTTTTGCGCGATTACCTGGTGTAATACCGCTGCCATTGTCTTTAACAAACAGTTTTGTAGTCTGGCTGTCCCACTGGGTAGACAATTCAATTTTGCTGGCGCCATGGGCAATGGCGTTTTCGATCAGGGTTTCCAGGCCGGCATCAATACTGGTTGCATCTCCCCAGACCTGTAAATCTTTATCAACCGCGGCGAGGTTGATGGACACTTTGCCGGTAAAGCGACTGCAGACATCGGCCAATGTGCTGCGCAGCAACACCCGGCTGCGTTTGCGGTCGTTCATTTCGGCGTGAGTCAGTTCACTCAGGCGCTGGGTTAAGCGACCCAGCCGATCAGCATCGGCGCTGACGTTTGTTAGAAAACGCTGCTGCTGGTCGCTGGTCATTGTTTCCGAATGATCCTGCAGCACTTCGATAGCGCCGCGGATACTCGCCAGCGGGGTTTTAAATTCGTGAGAGACGTGGCGGGAAAAATCCTGCAGGTAGGCGGTTCGTTCCTCCAGACGTGCCGCCATATCGGTAATGGCGGCGTGCAGGTTGGCAATTTCTTTTGTGCGGGGGACGTGTTTCTGCAGTCGTTTCTGAGCATCGCTTGCGCTGATTTCCCCACCGGCAATAGCCTGGGCTTCCGCAGCAAGTTTGGAGATGGGCCTGGCGATCATGCGAAACGTCACCCAGGACATAAACACAACCAAGGCCAGAAGCATGGCAAACCCCTGCATCAGCAGCCAGCGTTTGGCGTACAGTGCCTGCACGATGTTGGGTGGTGTTCTTGATAACACGACAGCGCCAATCAATCGTCCGTGCAGAATAATCGGTTGCGCAACAAAAACCCGAACCGTGCTTGTGCGGCTGATTGAATCCAGCGTGGATACTTTAACCAATTCGCTTTTACTGCGCAGGCGACTGATGGCGCGCCCTGCAAGCGCGCCGCGAAGTTCTTCGGTCTGAGCGATGTTTGCTCCGACGTCGGTGCCCGTGCTGGCGATAATAGTACCCCACGGGTCGACGACCCGGATGCCGGCAAGCGTCACCAGCTGCGCATCTTTCAGCACCGGTAACATGCGTTGACCTATCTGTTTAATCAGCGGGCGAGGCGTGATGCCACTAATGCCATCGGGGAAAGGCGGTAGTACTTTTGAGGTGGCGAGGTCCAGCGAGGGTAGATAAGGCACCCAACGATCCTCTTTCTGTGCGTCGCTGAGATCGATTTCACGACTCATCGCCAGCCAGTCCTGCGTACCCTGTTCTGCAACTATGGAGCGGTATAAAGCCGCGACAAATGCGCCCTGAGCAATCAAAGCAGATTCGGTCTGTCTGACCAGAGCGCTTTCGTACAGACGCATCAGTTGAATGCCGGCCAGAGGGAGAATCAGAACCACCAGGTTTACCCCGATCAGGACGCTGCGCAGCGAAATGTTGGGCCAGTGATGTTTCATACAGCCTGGTACAGGAGACGATAGCCAACGCCGTGCACGGTGGCGATGCCTGGTGCGCCAGCGTCCAGGAGTTTGTCCCGCAAGCGTCGGATATGACTGTCAATGGTGCGGCCGCTGACAACCCGACGAACGTCATAAGCGCCCTGCATCAGAGCATCGCGGCTGAACACTTTTTCCGGTCGACCTGCCAGCGTGCGCAGAAGTTGAAACTCCGTGTGGGTCAGATTCAACACAGTGTCCTGCCAGGATGCCTGCAAGGTCTCGGTATCTATATGGTAACCACCGCAGGTGATCACGTGGTGATCTGCATCTGCGGGATCCAACTCTTTTGTTCTTCTCAGGTTCGCTTTCACCCTCGCAACCAGCTCTCGCGGGCTGAAAGGTTTGCCGACATAGTCGTCGGCGCCCATTTCCAGGCCCATGATCCGGTCTACCTCTTCGTCTCTGGACGACAGCAGCAGTATGGGTACTGGCGAAATCTGACGCAGCGCGCGACAGACCTGCAGGCCGTCAAGTTCAGGCATCAGGACATCGAGAATGATCAGGTCAGGCTGGTTTCTTTCGTGTTGGGTGAGGGCGTCGACGCCGTCATTGGCGGTGAGTGTTCGATAGCCCGCCTGCTGTAGAGCAAAACAAACTACTTCACGGATATGGGGGTCGTCGTCGACAACTAAAATGGACTGCATATGAACATTGTACGCAAGCTTTTACCGGCTGTGGCGTACGGTTGACGCGTTTGCACATAATTTGCACAAATCTATGCGGGCTTTGCACATAAATGGGTAGTTTCGACGCGTGGATGGAGCAGCTTGTGCACATGGGTCTGCGATCGTTACAACATGTTAATTGCAGATCGAATAGTCCGTCCGGCAAATAGCTTCTGTTGGACCAACCTTGTCATTTTGGCGGGTGCGCTGGTGTTGGCCTATCAACCGATGATCTGGCTGCTAGGCACCTGGCATAGCGCTGGTTACGACGGTGTTGGATGGATCGCTTTTGCGCTGGTGCTGGCGGTAGGCATCTGGTCTGCAAGTTCGCCATTGATCACTCAGGCTTCTAATGTCGGGCAAACTTATGGCCTGTTGATGGCAACAGCATTGATACGCCTGTTTGCCCAATTGCTTGATATCAATGTGATTGGCGCGCTGCTGCTTGCTGTAGATGTTTACGCGCTGGCCAACCTCAGTCATTTATCTGCTCGGCAGCGCTGTGTGTCTGCCTTCTGGCTGGCAGCGTTGTTCTGTTTCTCTCTGCCCATAGAGCCGATTGTTCAACGCCTGTTAGGTTATGGCTTGCAACAGTTATCCGCGGACCTCGCCTGCTCACTACTATGGCCATTCTTCGATAATCTGGTGTGTTCCGGTGTTCGGCTGCAGATCTCCGGGCGGGACGTGATGGTTGATCTGCCGTGCTCCGGCGCGCAACTGTTGTCTACAGCC